TAGGCTACCTAAATCAGTGAGCTTCAGTGAGAGACGCTGTCTCAAACAATAAGGTTGAGGATGGGCGCAACCCATACCCTTAATCCTGGCACTTCAGAGGCAGAAGCAGGCAGATCTCTGTGAGTTCCAGCCAGCCAGAGCTCTACAGTGAGACCCTGTCTCAAGTGGGGGAAAGCTCTCTGCCGGATTCCCACTCCTAGGCACCTTGAGAAAGTGTTCTCTGTGGTGACACCTGGCGGTCGAAAACGTCACTGCCTAAATTCCTTGGTCTCCCCTACTCACATTCAACAGGGTTCTGGTTAGACTGGTCTTTGGACCACTCCAGATTCTTCTCATCATCTTACCATCCCATGAGACCCAATGCTTCTGTTCAAAGGGTGGATTTAAGACCTCTCGTTGCTTCTGTTTTTAAATTTTTAAATTTTATTTATTTTATGTGCATTGTTGTTATGCCTGCATGTCTGTCTGTATGAGGGTGTCAGATCCCCTGGAACTGGAGTTACAGGCAGATGTGAGCTGCCATGTGGATTCTGGGGATTGAACCTGGGTCCTCTGGAAGAGCAGCCAGTGCTCTTAACCACTGAGCCATCTCTTCAGCCCTCTGAAGAGGGCTCTGTTTTAAAAAATAAAAATTGTCTGTAGCCAGAGATGATGGTTTATGCCTATAATTCCAACACTTGGGAAGTGGAAGCAGTTAGATCAGGAGTTCAAGGTCATCCTCAGCTTCATGGAGAATTCCAGGCAAAAACAAAAGTCTCTCAAGTTCTCAAATTTTCAGCTAGAAAGTAGAGCTGACACAGCCAGCCAGCTCCGGGGGTTTGCTGGGAAAGAGAATATGAACAAAGCCTAGGATCTCAGTACTCAGGAGGCTGAGGCAGGAGGATTCAGAGTTAGAGGCCAGGCTAGGAGGGGAAAAAAAAAAAAAAAACGAAGCTGAGCACAGGAAATGGCAAAGGCCCTGCCCTGGAATGTCACCCTGTACGTAATGATTGGTGTTTCTGAGAGTGGCTGAGACCAGGATGAGAGGCACACACTAACTAGGTCACTTCTGTTGCCCGCCCTGGGCTGGGAGCACAGCAAAGCAACATCCCTGTACACAGCCGAAACTGCTCAGCAGCCACACTCTGCTCCCCCTGGACGTCCTGTTCTGGTCCCATAGGACGGGGCAGCCCTCCACACTGCGTGAAGCCCAATTCCTGAGCGACTCCCAGTGGCTCTTCTCCAGCTGTTCAGTTCCGTATTCTGGCTGCCGATGGTGGTTCATGCACGTAACCCAGCACTCAGAGGCTGAGGCGGGAGGATGGAGAGTCTGAGACCAGCCTTGCTCCATGAAAAGACCCTCTCCCCAAAAACCAAACAACCAGCCCACCAGCAAGAAGAAAACAGCCAACCCTGGCCCTGCTTTGGGCTCATCCTTTCAAAGGAATTTTTTTCTTATTTTCTCTGCTCCCTATTCCCAGACCAACAGTGATTCTCCTTGGCTTAATTCCTGGAGCACTTATCATCTTGCATTGTGTCCTGCTCCTCTGGTTCCTATTACAACCAACTTAATTTATTCATTCAGCAAATATGTATTGAGTATCTGCTCCATGGCAGCTACTATTGCAGTTACGGCCAATGAGCAAGATCCACTCCCAGGGATGACCTATTCTGGTGTGGGAGGTAACCACTAAGCAAACACACCAAGACACAGAAGTGATGTCATGAGTGAGGAGTGCCTTGAGCAGAACACTGACTGGGAGAGCAGAATAGAGGGTGGGTTTTGTGCGAGTGGTCAAATCTGGCTTAGGGAATGGAAAAGGCAAAGTCATTTTGCCAACAATGATAGCTACAAGAACAAGAAGATGGTCAGGATGGCCAGAGGAGAGTGAAGGGCAGACAAAGGAACAGGGGATGTGATCGGGGATGGGGAGAAGGGGCTACATATTTAGAGATAGCCCTGGCTAGCCTGGAACTTTCTGTATAGAGCAGGCTGGCTTTGAACTTGGCAGAGATCAACCTGCCTCTACCTCCCGAGTGCTGGGATTAAAGGCATTACAAAACATACACATTTTACATGAACAACCCAATGGGTGTACACACACTTGTGGAAGGTTCACAATATGGGACATTTCTATTACTCCAGAAAGCCCCAACATGGCCATACAAGTCCTCAATACTGCTCTCTGAGTACCACTCTTTTTTTTTTTTTTTACTTCTCTCCAGGCTGGTCTGGAACTCACAGAACTGTCTGCCTCTGCCTCCCTAATGCTGGAATTAAAAGGCATGTGCCACCACCACCAAAAATATTTATTTTTTTTGTGGATTTGTATTCTCCTGTGCTGGTGTGTGTGTGTGTGTGTGTGTGTGTGTGTGTGTGTGTGTGTGTATTTTTGTTTTGGGATGAGTTCTTCCTCCACAGTTCAGACTTGCCTTAATTTATGACCTCCCTCCACTCCCTAGAGTGCTGGAACTCTACAGGGATGTCCTTGTAGCCAGCTTTCTCTATGGTGTATGTGCATATGTGCATCCAGGTGCATTTGTACATGCATATGAATACAGAGACCAGAAGAGACTGTCAGTTGTCCTTTATTGCCCTCCACCTTCTTCCCTTGAGACAGGGTCTCTCACTGAGCCTGAAGTTCACTGTTTCAGATAGTCTGGCTGGCCAACAAGCTCCTGAGAACTGTCTTTGCTCCCCAACACTGGCACTGTAGGTATGTAGGGCCATGTGCAGCTTTTGTGTGGATGTTGGGAATTCAAACTCAGGTATTCATGCTTGCATAGCAAGTGATCGTACTCACTGAGCCATCTCCTTAACCCCACACACAGCTTGTTTTTCTATCTTTGTCTTTGTTTTTCTGTCTTTTTTAAATGGGTTATTTTATTATCTTTATGAATATGGATGTTTTGTCTGCATGTACATCTGTACATCATGTACACGCCTGGTACCTGCAGAGGCTAGAAGAGGACATCGGATTTCCTAGAACTGAGTTACAGATGGTTGTGAGCTGCCACATGGCTTCTGAGAATTGAGCCAGGATCCTCTGGAAGAGCAACCAGTGTTCTTAACCACTGAGCCATCTCTCTGGCTCTGTCCCCTTTTTCTGTTCTTTTCCTTTTCCTCCCCACCCCCAGCCATGAGGAACTGAACAGGTGTTCTACCATCAAGCTATACTCCCAACCCCTCTGGAACGTAAGGTGTAGCTGAAGCTAGCCTCAGTTTGCAGCAACCTTCCTGTCTTAGCCAAGCAAGTGCTGTTTAATTCATCACTGTGAAATTGCTGTAATCACCTAAGTGGTCCACGGCTGTAATGTCAGAACTTGGGAGGCAAAGGTTAGATGACTGAAGATTCAAGGCTAGACCAAGCTACACAGTGAGACTGTCTCAGAGTGGGAAAAAAAAAATAAGAAAAAAACAACCATAAAACAAAACAAAATCCCTCCATGATTACTATCATATATGTCTTGGACTAATTTCTCTTGGGTATATGCTCATGAGTGGAAATGCTAGGTCATGTACTATGTATTAGTTATATAACCTACTTTTAGCAGACATTGCCAGTTTTCCAAAGTGGTAGTACCAGTTTACACTCTCACCAGCAGCCTATAAAAGATCCAGTGGTGCCCAGGCATAGTGGTGCACACCTGTCTTCCCAGCGCTTGGGAGGCTGGAGGAGGAAGACTGATGAGAACTGTGGGCTAGCCTGAGCTACATAGTGAGACCTTGTCTCAGAGGGGGGAAAAACGTTCCACTGGGACCAGTGCCGCCGTCAGTCTTTTTGACCTCGGTGCTGTGCAATGGAATAAAGGTCTTAGAAAGAGTGTGCCGGTTCAGCGTAGAGTCCTGGCGGGCAGCAGGTAGGGGTGGGCTGGAGACAAGATGCTGCTAGGTTAGCAGGAGGTTAGTCTCGTCATCCAAGAAAGCTGGGACTGGCTGATAAGATGAGTGAGGCTAGGCATGGCAGTGCATCCTTTTAATCCCGGCCCTTGGGAGGCAGAGGCGGGTGGGCCTGCTGTGAGTGAGGTGACACAGTGAGTTCTAGGCCATCCAGAGCTATCTCGTGAGACCCTGTCTCAAAGGCAAGCGAGCGAGCGAGCGAGCAAAAAGATGAGGGAGGGTAAGTGGAAAGAGACAGGTAAGTTCAGATAGTCATTTCAGACAGGGTCCAGCTATGCCGTCCATAGACCTCTCTATCCTGCCACCGTCCCCCAAGTGCTGGGATTACAGGCCCGCACTACCACGCCCAGCTGAACACTAGACTTGGTCCATGTGTTGGTGGACGTGCGCATGCGCAGAAGCCACAGGAGGTGCGTAGAGGCCAGGGGACAGTTTGTGATGTCTTTTCTCTCCTTCCACTTTTACACGGGTTCCAGGTTTCAAACACTGGTCGTCATCAGACTTGCAGGGCAAGGGCTTTCCTCAGTCAGCCAGCTCACAGGCCTCTAAGTTCTGGCTTTTGCCTTGAAATGCTGAGTGGAAACCCGGTCAAAAGCAAAGCAAAGTTGGGAGAATGAGAGGACTATTTGCTGATGGCAAGACTCAGGGAGAGTTAGACGAGCTAAGGGGTCACATAAGGCTATGTAAGTGTGCAGTGTCTCCTGGAGGTCAGGCCACCACGAGCGAGCGTCAACACAGGCTCCCTGTGTCTCTGTCTTGGCAAGACTGGTAACTGCCGGCTGCATGAATAGCTTGTGCGGCCTGCAGCAGGCAGACCCGGGCTAGGAGAGCAGGCCTGCCCCATCCAGCTCTATAACTTCACCTCAGACCTTGCAGGGTTAGAAGTGTGATCACATATCCACGTGACCCGGAACAGGTGAGAACAGAAACATCTCCTGAGTTCCAGACACCAGACACGGATCTTGTGAGGCTGGCACCTTCTCCTCCCACTCACATTTTCCAGGTCACTCTAGACAGCCCTGCTGAGGAGGCTTGAGTGCCGGGAGGGCACCCCCTGTTCCCTCTCCCAAGATCAGCCCTTCCCCCCAGTTTCAGAGAAGCACTGGAGAACACTGGACGGTTCATTCATAGACTTGAGTGTATTTTCTCTATCCAGCGGTTTCTTCAATGACAACTGGGCCTGTACAATACACACAGTTCACTCCATTAAAGCTACAGGGTTGGGGGGTTCAGGGCCCCTGAGAAGCAAGCATCACAACCAGAGGCAAGCAGCAGCCAAGGGGTGGGGAGGCAGTGTTCTTGGAGGCTAGGGAATTAGAGAAGGCGGATATGAGGGGTTACTGGAGAGGGGCAGGAAGCCTGGGCTGCAGGGGGAGCAGCCAGCAGTTGGGTGGAAGAAGCAGAGTATGGGGAGGTATGGTTACCATCACCATTATGGGCTGGGGGGCGGTCACCATCACCACTAGGAGCCAGGGGGAGTGGTATGGCATATCTGTGGATATTTCAACAGGAACTGCTGTATAAAAGGGACTGTACAACATAACCTATAATACAATGTTTACATATGATACAAGGTTCTTTCCCTCTTTGGGTTTTAAAAAATAAATGTACAATTCCAGAGCTTTGGGTAAAAAATATATCCACTCCCAGAGCAGGAGCTGCAGCTGATTTCACTGCTGCCACGGCCCCCGTTACCTCTTCAGAAGGGCCAGGAAGGAGGGTGAGGCTGTGCCAGGGAGCCCCACCCAGTAGCTGCCAAGAGCCCCTACAACCCCTCAGCCCTGGAGCCCGTGATGGGAGAGGGAAGGGTGCCGGAGAGGTAACAAAGCCTTGCCGGAGCCCAGCTTCTTCTTTATAACCGCTGCTGCCTTTCCTCCCCACTCAGGGAGGCGCTAGCTGCCCTAGGTACTGGGTCCACCCTGAGTCTCTAGAAAGACAAAGGGCAGGGTGGGGGTGAAGACAGATGGCCAGACTGTGAGGTTGGCGGCAGACACAGAGCCAGAAGAAGGATGACAATGCCCCCCGTAGCAGTGAGACACCCCCAAAGGCAGAGAGGTATGGGGAACAGGTGCCCCTGACTCCCGATACCACTGCACTCTACCCACTGCCGGGCAGAGAGGCAGGGTCCTGTGTTTCCCTGAGCATCTTGATGCCTCTCACCGTCACATACCCAGAGATCTTGGGGAAGCTTGGGTGTGGGATTTGCAGGGGCTAATGGGTACTAACTCTCTGGCCTTCTGATACTGCCTGCCTTCAGGAACAGGTTGGCCCACAGCTTTCACATGTAGGAAGGACAGCAGGTGGAGTCTGGGCAGGAAGGGAGGGAGGGAGGGAGGGAGGGAGGGAGGGAGGGAGGGAGGGAGGGAGGGAGGGAGGGAGGGAGGAAGGGAGGGAGGGAGAGTCGACAAAGGTAGCACCAAACAGAAGGGATCCTCAAAAAACAAAAGTAAAAAAAACCCAAAACAACCAAACAACAACAACAACAAAACCCACTTGTGATAATCTCCCTACCTTATCAGATGCACTCTTGCTCCCTAAGAGGGGACCTGTAAATCTCACACACACACACACACACACACACACACACACACACACACACACACACACACTGTCTCGGGGGTGTATATCCAGGGATCTCAGCCCCGATGAGGGGGAAGTGAACAGGTGGCGGAGAAGAAGACTTCCAATGCCTCCGGTAGGTACCACAGCTGCGATCCGGGAGGGGGTGCTTCCTTCCTGCTCGGGTCTGGAAGCTCCATCTCTGGAACAGACCTCACCGGGGGGAGGTCAGACACCAAGAGTGTGGAGGAGCATGGTAAGAGGGCCGCAGCAGGATGGACAGACACGCTGATGCATTCTGGTAGGTCAACCCAATCCTCCTCGTAGCATAGGAAGAGGCTCCAGGGGAAAGATGGCCGATGTGGGTGGCTGAGGGCATCGTGCAAAGTGCTTGAGTGCCAGGTGCCAAGGACCTAGGTGGGGGCAGCTGGGCCCCTAAACTCTCACTGACTATTAGCCTCCAACTTGTAGGAGAGCTCAAAGAGGAGGTTCTGGTTGTCGATGACCTGGAACTGGCGCACATAGGCCTTGGTCTGCAGGTGATGCGGGGAGGCCTCCATGTCCAGGCCTGGGGTGCAGAGAGGGAAAGGCAGTCAGCTCTCAGCTTCCTTTTATCCCCTATATGCATGCAGGGCAGGGCAGGGCGAAGGGGTGTGAATGGGGACAGCCATTGGCAGGAAGCCCAAGGACAGAAAGAAGAACTGAGCAGTGTGACAAAACATACACTCATGGAGCATGGGGTTCCCCCAATCCCTCCGCTTCCACAGCTCTACTGGGAAGCCAGCTCACTGAGTCCCGGGTACTCACAGAGGGGCCGGCTCCGGTATTTTCGGATTGTCCTCACCTTCTCAGCCACGGAATGCTGGGAGATGACAAGGAATTAGCCCTGGAACGGGCACAGACAGCTGCCTCCCCCGTCATTCTCGACCGAGTTAGTCAGTTCTCCCATCTCCAGGCTCCCAGTGACGGGGCCTCTGAAGGGCCAGAGGGTGGGTAATAGCAAGGTGCCAAGAGAGGGAGGTAGCATTGCCCCCAAACTGCCTGTCAGCTTTGCCTCTGGTGGGTGGGTTGCCACAGTGACGCCACCAGAGAGACAGTCTGGAGTCTGTTAGGCAAGCTGGGCACCAGAGAAGAAGGCTGCTATTTTGAGGAAGTGACAGGAGAGAGGGAGAGGATGGTACAGCCCCTCACTCCCAGGACAGGGGCGGGCAGTACCACTCACCAGCTTCTCAATGTTCACCAAACCATCCACAAGGGTCTTACTCCCCTCATGCAGGAAGGTCAGGTCTAGGGAACAGAAAGACAGCTACATGAGGACTGAGTCGGCAGAGGGAACCCATCCCACCCTCCGAGACACATGCAGCTTGGGGGGGGGGCTTCTCTGCAAGTAGGCACTCACAGCTGAATTGAGAGGGGGCTCAGCGCCAGGCTTAGGGTGTGGGAGAAGGGATTGTGGGTAGGAAAAACACAGCATGGGAGGGACTGACCTTTGAGGATCAGGGGCACGAAGGGAATCACAGGAGGCTTCATTTTGGAGATGATTTCTCTGTAGCTTTTATGGTTCCGGCAGGGGTCCTAGCATTCCACAGAAGGAGCAGAAACAGATGGGCCCCCGGCACCCCCAAAGATGTTTCCCATTCTCGAGGGGCTGATGAAAGCCAACCCCACTCACCGTCAAGTTCTCAAATTTGCGGAAGAGGTTCTTGAATTTCCCTGGCAGTTTCTGCAGAGCGTTCGAAGGAAGAAGAAAAAAAGAAATGTCAGTGTGGAGCTTCTTGAGTTTCATGGAAGCATGTGATTAGTCTTCCTTAGAGGGTTATGGGCTTACATGTCTTTCAGGGGAAGGAGACGCTAGCAGGTGAGGACATAGAATCAGTCCTAAGGGTAAATCAGGGAGCCTGAAACTGCCTGAGGAACAAATTATTCTGGACACAGTAAGACCTCTGCCCGTGCAGGCACCATGCACCAAAGCGCTCCCAGTGAGAGCTGGCTGAGACTCAGCAGACTCATAGCAAGGGCACTTGGGCTGGGAGTCTAGCTTTTTACTAATCTGCAAAGACATGATGAGCAAAGCTCTATGCCCTGAGAAGCAGAGGCCAGAAGAGGGCATCTGCTTCCTTCCCCTTGGCACAAAGATTTCCCCACAGAGGAGCAGCAGCAGCAGCAGCAGCAGCAGCAGCAGCAGCAGCAGCAGCAGCAGGGGCACACAGATCCTGAGGTGGGATGAGTCTGGCACTGTGGGGAGAGAAGGGAGAGGTCGCCTCACCTCCCAGGTGAGCCGCAGGCGGCTGACGGCAGCATTATCCAGTCCCATAACCACAGCGTAGAAGGACAGGAGGTCCTGGTTCTGCTTGCAGCTGTGTAGGAGGGGGAGGCGAGGTGAGGGGCCGGGGGTCGGGGGCGAGGGTAGGGCGCATCAGGGAACTGCGACCTTCCCTTCCCGGCCTCCAGCAGCAGCACTCACATGGCGGCGATCTTGATGAACTTCTTGAGCAGCTGGACCCGCTTGCCCGGGGCCTCACAGAGCAGCACCTCCGTGGCCACCCAGTGAGTGACCTCGCTGCAACGCTGCAGCAGCAGCTCCAGGTTGGCGGTCTCCCGGCGACCACGCTCCCCGTGGAACACGTAGTCCACGAACTCCAGCTGCAAGCCCGGGGCAGAGCGGAGAGGCCAGGGCAACGGGAATGGGAGTGGGAAGATGGCCGTGAGAAGATGGCCGCACAGAGCACATGGAGAAGGAAAGACAGGAGTGAGTGGGTATGAAAAGAGAAAAACAGGGACAGGAGAGGACATAACGGAGACAACTAATGTGAACAGTGTTCTCCACCTAGTGAGCGTGGAGCGACTATGCACTGGCTGAAATCTGTTATTTTCCCCGTGGGAGACACTTATCACTGCCTTTTATCTTCCTATCTTTCTTTCTAAGATTTTATTTTAGATGGCTCAGTGGTTAAGATCACATATTTTTTTAAATAACTTATTTAACTTTATGTGCATTGGTATGAAGGTGTCAGATCCCCTGGAACTGGAGTCACAGACAGTTGTGAGCTACCATGTGGGTGCTAGAATTGAACCCAGGTCCTCTGGAAGAGCAGCCAGTGTTCCTAACCCCTAAGCCATCTCTCCAGCCCAAGATCACATATTGATCTTGCAGAGGACCCAAGTTCAATTCCCAGCACCCACATCAGGCAGCTTACAACTGCCTGTTACTCCAGGGAATCTGATACTTCTATGACCCCATACACAGAAATATACAAGTACTCGTGAATAAATAACAATAATATTTTAGAAAAGATTTTATTTGGGGGACTGGAGATATTGCTCAGTGGTTAAAATGTGTACTGATCGTCCAGAAAACCTAAATTTGGTTCCCAGCACCCACAAAAGGAGGTTCACAACTGTCTGTAACTCTAACTCCAGGGGGATCTGATGTCTCACCTCTGTGGGTACCTGCATCACATGTGTGCATGTATGCATGCACACACATACACATATACACTCACAATTAAAAATAAAATAAATCTTAAAATAAATTTGCCAGGTGTGATGGTGCATGCATTTAATCTCAGCACTCAAGAGGCAGAAGCAGGCAGATCTCTGTGAGTTTGAGGCCAGCCTGGTCTACAGAGTGAGTTCCAGGACAGCCAGGGCTATATACTGAGACTCTGTTTCAAAAACAACAACAAAAAAAATTAAGACTAATATTTATTTGTGTGTGTGTGTGTGTGTGTGTGTGTGTGTGTGTGTGTATCTATGTGCACATTTGTGTAAAGGCCATGAATGGGCATCAGAGCCCCGGAAGCTGGAGTTACAGGTGGTTGTAAGCCACTGGTTATGATGGGGCCAGGACTCAACTCTGGCCCTCTGGAAGAACAGCAAGCACTCTTAACCTCTAAGCCAATTCTTAGGCCTCATTTTTTTTTGTTTGTTTTAATTTACTTACTTTTATTCATGTGCATTGGTGTTTTGCTTGCATGTATGTCTGTGTGAAGGTGTCAGATGTTGGAGTTACAGACAGTTGTTAGCTTCCATGTGGGTGCTGGGATTTGAACCTGGGTTCTCTGGAAAAGGAGTCTGTTCTTTTAACCACTGAGCCATCTCTCCAGAGCCCCCACACCTTTTTTGTTTTGATATGGGATTTCCTGTATCTCCAACTCATCATGTAGCCCAGGATAATGTGGATTCTTCTGCCTCCTCTTCCCAAGTGCTGAGACTACAGGCATCCACCACCACACCTGATTTATTCAGTGGAGAGGGCCAGGCCCAGGGGTTCGTGTGTGCGAGGCAAGTACTCCACCAACTGAGTCACACCCTCAGCTCGACAGCAAACATCTTTATGACTCCTGATAGGAATTCCAATTCAGAGTCTATGTGGGCAGCACCCGAAACAGGCTGCTGGAGAGGCGCTCTACTGTTTTCCCGGATGAGGGACAGAGGCCTACAGAGGTTATACTTGTGCACTGCCCACGTGTGTGCTGCAAGGGAGCCTTCGAGGCTAGGACTAGGACTGTCTGCTGCACGGCCCGTGCCCCCCACCCACCCCCACCCCTGTCCAGCACAAGCCTCAGTCCCACCTCATGCACACATCGGAACAGCTCCCAGTGGAAGGCAGTAAGATGGTTGGCAACATCTTCAGGTTCCACCCGGTGGATCTCTGTGTCTCCAGGCGAGACCTGGATCTCCTCAGGAAGGGGTACCTGGTGGCAGGTGGGGTCAGAGGAACTTGGCTCCCTGCGGTAGGGTGCTCTCAGCAGCCCCTCCCCCCAGCTCTTGTTACCAGCCAAGACAGGTGAAGGAATTCTCACTAGAGCCTCATAGCTGTCCCGGGTACAGGCAAACAGGTGGCTGTTGATGCCCAGAGTGGTGAACACACAGTCTTCTGTTGGCTGGAGGAGGACCTTCTCTGCAGAGGAACAGGCTGTTCAGCTTGGGCCACCTACATCTCTCACATGCATACCTGAGCCACCATCACCCTTCCCAGCCAGAAACCCATAACACTGTGCTGACACGTCCTAGATTATAGGATTCCTATCACCACCAGCTTATACCATATTCATATGAAATTTGTCGAACGTTCTCTCCTGCATTTATAGACTCCACCCCATATGCAGCCTGTCTCTCTTTCATCTCTATGACATTGGACAGGCTGGAGTAACTTTTTCTTTATGGAAAACAAGGCAAAGATTAGCATGATGGAGCATGCCTGAAGTCCTGGCACCTAGGAGGCCGAAGCAGGAAAGACTGTAAATTCCAAACCAGCCTGAGGTTTTATACAATACACACACACACACACACACGCACACGCACACGCACACGCACACGCACACGCACACACACACAAGCTATGCTACATTGCTGGCTCTCTGCCTCCCCACAGAATTAGAACCTACCCTCTATCTTCAGCCTTTAAAAAAAAAAAATGGAGCATACAGGATGCTGGGGAGAGTTGTGTGTGAAGGACCAGAATACAATCTCCAGGCGCGTATTAGGTAGTACCCAGGACAGAACCCAATGATTCTGAACCAGTGTGTCCCAAATTTAAATGTGCATAGGGATCCCCTGGGTGGGAGGGGGCCGGGTCTGGTCCAAATGTAGATCTAATCCTGTAGGTTTGGGGGAGGGTCTCCTAGGTGACGCACGCACCAAGGCTGGACCCACGATGACACGTCTGAGCATCGAGGATCTAGAATTTAGCGTTTACCCCTGCCTGATGTGCTGACCCTCACCTCCAGAGGAGGCAACAGCTACCAGGATGAGGGCATCCTCACGCTCTGTGGGCTCTTCCGAGTACTGCAGCTTCTCGGTCACAGAGCCCAGGATGTCCTGCACGGATGCTGAGAGGCGGCTGCGTATGGTCACGTAAGAGTGGTCAGGCATGTAGACCCGGCAGAAGACTGCACAAAGACAAGAAGGGTTCTGTGAAAGGGGCTGAGGGGACTCCATTGAAGATGCAGAAGGCTCAGGGACCTCATCCACCTCCCTGAGCCACCCCAGAAATTATGCTTTTCCTAGTGGCCATACTCACTCTCATCAGAGCCCCGGAAAGCCACCCGGGTCTGCAGACAGGAATCTATCCGGCGGAAGTGACGGAAGAGTGGCTTAACCTGCTTGCTGGGCGGCTGGCTCTCCTCTGGAATCCTGGCATGAACACAGCCAGGCATCAGCAAGCCCTGCCAGGCGTATGGAGCCCCAGGCAGGAACATTAAGCAGGGATAGGACAACGATCAGCATAGGACGACTGTCCAAATGACCCAAATCAAATGCCACCTCTTTCAGTGGCTCCTTCATAGGCCACTCATCCAGGAGGCAAGGTCACTCTCTTGTCTCAAATGCTATAAAACAATGGAACCATGTCGTTTATGTTCGTGTCATCTTTTCTACAAGATTGACAGGTTTTGAGGAACGGGATTAGTTTATGTGGAGTGTTTTTCACCCTTCAGGATCTAGCACACTTCTTGGCACATGATAGATAGTAAGACATCAGATGTCTGAATTTTGCCGAAAAGGACTTCACAGTCTGGGAAGGAGACAGACGTGTACGCAGCTACTTCTAACACCAGCCAGGAAGTGTTGGTGAGATGATAAAGGTACCGGAGGGCGATGTGGCGTGGGGGAGGACAGAAACTCTTCCTGAAGGGGGAATCTGAGATGTTTCCATGGAAGAGATGGCCCTTGACCTGGGCCCTAAAGGATCACGGGAAGAACAAGTAGGAAACGCACAAAAGTTGCCAGAGTAACAGGTGAAGAGGGATGTACGAGGGGAGATGGGAAAGATCAGCAGATGGCGGGAAGGGAGGGGGTGCTGATGCTGTGCTGGGGCATTTAACTTGGAGATGTTAGGGAACATGGATGCCTTGGGAACAGGAGGGTGGAGGCATCGTTTGTGGAAGTCTGGAAAATATCTTCGGTGTCAGAAGAGAGAAGGGAGACGATGCAAGGCCAGGAGCTGAAGTCCTGAGCGGGCTGTGGCAACAGTCTAGGTGAGAGTTAATGAACCTTGTAGCACCAGGAATGCAGAGGAGAAAACAAGATGTACTCCTGTCCTGAAGCTAGTGAGGTCAATTTGGGGGAATTCTGCCAACTGTTTGTTTAGGTAAGAGCGAGGGTTAAACCCTGGACCTTACACATATTAGACAAGCAGCCCACCACTGAGCTACATCCGAAGCCCTTATTAATTTTTTTTTTTTAATTTGAGACATGGTCTCACTAAGTTGTCCAAGCTGGCCTGGAATTGACGATTCTTCTGCTTAAGCCTCCCGAATACCTAGGATTATAGGGAGGTGCCACCACGCCTAACTGATAGATATGGTTTTTGTAAGATTTATTTGTATTTTGAATGTGTATGGATGTTTTGCCCGCAAGTGCACCACGTGCAAGCACTACATTTGGAGGTCAGAAGAGGGCATCAGATCCTCTGGAACTGGAGTTACAGATGGTTGTTAGTGGCCATGTGGGTGCTGGGAATCCAACCTGGATCCTTTGGAAGAGCAACAAGTGCTCTTAACCATTAGGCTATCTCTGCAGTCCCTGCTAACTGATTTTTTTTTTTCAAGACAGGGCTTCTTTGTGTAGCTTTAGCTGTCCTGGAACTAGCTCTGTAGACCAGGCTGATCTTGAACTCATAGAGATCTGCCTGCCTCTGCCCTCTCAGGTGCTGAGATTAAAAGTGTACTTTCTAAGGACAGCTATTGAATATGTGTGTGTTCATTCATACACACACATTTTGCAAACTTGAGGTCAAATAAATTATTATGAAAAAGACAGTTTCAAGCCAGGCAGCATGGCACAAATCCATAATCCCATCTTGGAGGCAAATACAGAAAGATTGCTTCAGGTTTCAAGGACTCTGTCTCAAAAGTAAATAAATAAGAAAAAAGAAAGAAATGGTAGTTTTCTAAGTTCTTTTTTGCTGTTTGGTATTGCATTTTTACGCATATGTAACAATGTGGTGGAAATATTATGTAACCACTACTGCAGATCTCATCCCAGCTCAACAGTCAGTGAGACCTTGTTGATAGCTTGCTAAGAGAATTTACGCTATGAGAATCAGAGTGATCAGCCAGGGCTGTTTCTCATAAAGCACAGGTTGTTAAATATCTGCCAGAACACTACCATATTAATAGACAAACAGATGGAAAAATGGACCAAAAACTAAAAAAGCCTGGACCTGGGCCTGGTGGCACAGGTCTACTGGGGAATCTGAGACAGGAGGATTACTGGTAGAAGCCATCTTGGGCCACACAGTAAGTTGGGGGTTAGCTTGAGCTATATAATAAGACATGTTACTTAGCCCTCCCCGCCCAAAAAAAAAAGACTGGGTTAGAAATAGGGTTCTGTGGTTCTGTGTTACTCTCCAGTAAAGAAAAGAAGCTGAAAGAAACTATATTGAAGAGTTGAAGGGACTGGAGAGATGGCTCAGTGGTTTAGAACACTGGCTGCTCTTGCAGAGGACCCATCTCTGTCCCCAGCATCCATGTGGTGGCTCACAGCTGTCTGTGACTCAAGTTCCTGGGGACCCAATGCCCTCTTCGGACCTCAGCGCACCCAAGCATGCAGGTGATACACAGATACACATGCAGGCAAAATGATAAAAATAAATAAATATCTCGAGAAGCAAGCAAGCAGACAAACTCATATGTTGAAGCCACAAGACCAGAGGCAGCTCCTATAATAGAGGAATTCGGGGAACCCCTCCCCCTCACTTTAGCTCCACTGTCTCCACCAGCTGGTGCAGCCTCAGAGTGTCCTCTCGGAGGTCTTGGTAAAGGGACTCATCCTTCATAATCAGCAGATACAGTTCCTAGGGAGAGTGTAACAGATGAGATGAAGGTAGATGTCTGATCCTAAGGACCACTCACTGCGAGGGCTGAGGCAGGGCCTCCGTGCCTCAAGCACTCAGGAATCACATGGACCAAAGCCCACTGGCATCTTTTGCCCCAGATGCCCAACTTGCAGAGTGTGAATCCTTCAAAGGGCCCCCTTCCAGAGCTGAGAGCCAGCTCATACACCTTTCCCTTCCCAGGCCCACCTTGATAATGTGGCCGGCCCCTTCTTCCTCTTGTAACAGTCCTTGGTAGGTATCCAAGAAATGGAGGAGTAGAGCCAGACAGGCTTGCTTCCGGCCCAGCCCCTCTGGACCCTCCACATCCCTTGACTGAACAAAGCTGACCCCTAAGTTAAGTAAAAGTTCCGGAGAGCCAAGGAAATTGGGAAACGCAAACTGCCCCCACATATTCTGGGCTTGGGTACCAGAGGAAAGGTTTTCAGGGCCTTGGAACCAAGAGTTTTACTCATACCAGCCATGGTTTTGCTGAGAGTACAAAGAGTGAGGGCTTCAGCTTGACCACATTCAGCTCTTGCCTGTTAAAGAGGTTCACGTAAGAATACTGCCAGGACCCATCTAATCTCCAGCCAACCCACAAACCTGACCTTACCTCATGGTGAGGCCCCATTGTTCTAAGAGAGCCAGACATTCTACTCAAGGGCTTGACAGGTACAATCAGATTCTAAAATAATTCCAAGAAATCAGGCATGGTGGTACAGTCCTGTAATCCCAGCATTCAGGAGGCGGAGGCAAGAGGACCACCACAGGTTCATGATAGCCTGAGCTACATTAGAAGTTCCAAACTGGCTGGGCGTGGTGTCACACCCCCTTAGTCTCAGCACTCAGGAGGTAGAGGCAGGTGGATTTCTATGAGTTTGAGGCCAGCCTGGTCTACAGAGAGAGTTTCAGGATAGCTAGGGATACGCAGAGAAACGCTGTCTCAGAACAACAAAAGTCCAAACTACCCAGGATTACATAGTGAGACCCGTCTCTAAAAACAAAACAAACAAGTGAATGCTGTATGCTACCAAGAGACCCAACCAACAGGCCGGCAGTAGCTCATCCCTAGCTGACCCCACTGAAGCACAGCCATGACCTAATGCTGGTATCAAACCCTGCGTTTAGAGCAAGATATTATTGTTGTTGTTGTTGTTGTTGGATTTTTGAGACAGGGTTTCTCTGTGTAGCTCTGGCTGTCCTAGAACTCACTTTGTAGACCAGGCTGGCCTGGAACTCACAGAGATCTGCCTGCCTCTGCCTCCTGAAGACTGAGATTACAGGTGCCTATCACCACCACTGCCCAGCCTGCACCTTCCACTTGTATAGGTCTCCCCAGAGCACTCCCACACCTGCGGCAAGGCTGATCCTCAGAGCAGCCCGGAGCAGAGCAACTATTGATCTCCACTTTACTGACTGGAGCAAACTGAAGCTCCAGGGTGTGAGGTGATCTGCCCCAGGTCACACAGCCGGTGAGATGAAGAGCTGTATCTCCTCAGGGAGAGTTGGCACTGGGTTGTAGTTTGTGGGTGGGAATGACTCCCCTCCTGGGCTGCCCTTTTATAAGCTCCATAAAAGGATATTACTGGTGTAGCTCTTGTAGAAACTTCTCGGTTGGCAGAAAGAGGGAATGGGTGAGGACAATGTCATCAAGCAGAATATCTGTGGAGATCAACGGGCGTCGCGGATGTCAGGACGGCGCTTCTAGAACCGTCGGGAAACCCTGTGCCCTCGTTTCTTGCCTCTTTAGTAAGGCTGGAGCCCCGGCCACACCTGCCCTGTCATGCTCTGCACACGCGCACACACATGTATGAAGGTTCTGGGCAGCCGCTGCGGGGGTGGGGCTGGCAGCTGCCAAGGCAGCTGGAGAGAAGGGGGGGGGGGGTTTGCCTCTGAAGGCCATGCACACTTCTCTTCAGTGTGTGGGAAGTTGGTCAGATAATCCACCGTGCCTGAGATCTGCTAGAGAAAAAGGAGTCCACAGAAGGGACCCTAAACAGAGAACTGGCAAACACAGAGGTTACAGTCAGAGGGTGTGGGTGTGTGGGGATGTGTGTCCATCCTCCCCTCCCCACGCCTTACCTCGCAGCTTTGACAGGGCAGGTAGGGACCAGCCCCATTAAAGTTAGGAGAGGGACAGACTGCCACCCCTTGTCCTCTGGATGCCCGGAGGTGGAAGGGTTAATGATGAAGAGGAGAGGGGGAGGGGCTCCTCTCACTACCCTTCTCGTCCACACCCCTGTCTGGGCCTGGCTCAGCCAGTCAGCCAGGTACAAGGTCGCCCTGACTTGCAGCCAGCCCTGGGGTGGGGCAGGGCTGCTTGGCACACACAGACAGGCAGGGCACAGGGTGGGGGCCAGGTGTCCTCAGCAGGACAGGTTAGGGCCAGGCCCCCCGGCACTGCTCCAGGTCAAAACCAAGGCTCCTGACAATTGCCCTGCTGCCAGTGCCAGCCAGGAAGGGAGAGGAGGAGAGGCAACACAAGATTGTCTCCTTCCATCCATTTCATGTCACAGATGGGAAACTGAGGCCCACAGCTAAGAGGCACTTGCCTCGAGCCAAAAAGAACCTAGATTACTGAGTTCTTTTCTCAGTATAGAGGCAAACAGGGTGTCAGAGTAGAATCTAGTGGCCACAAGGGGCTGCCTAGACTTCTGAGGGGCTCTGGCAGGGCGTGGAGAGCCCTCAACAGTGGTTTCCTCCTACAAGCCTGGGAGGAAACCAAATGGCTCGAGGATGTGGCTGATATTGGAAATATTGGAGTGGCAGGTTAAGCTGGTAGATTCCCCGAACCAGTTTCTCTGGGGATTCAGCCTGCCAAGCCAGAGAATACGGGTGACGATTTGGGAGTCTTAACCCAGGGGAAACTGAACAATCTGTGGCACCATGCCCCTGCAGAAGAGGAAAGTCAACCTCTCTCTCCCTCTCTGAGAGCTACCCTGCTGAATTCTGCAAGTAAAGGAGAAGCACTCTGGCCCTCACGCCCAGCTCCAGGGATGGGGACCAGGCATAAGGTGGCCTGACATTCTTCCTTTATCTTTATCTCACTAGAGTGTGGATGCTAAAACCAGAGCGAAGGGAAAGGAACATGGGCAGAGTGGGGGAGATGCTGATACGGAGGCTACAGTTTGGCATCTGTCTCTTCCAAAGCAGGCTCTGGTCCAACGCACAGCCTCCCTGGGGAATGTGTCATAGAGACACAGGGTGTGCGGTGTAGGCGGGAAGTTATGGTTAAGAGAGCTCTGTGTGTCTGATATTTTTTCTAATTAAATCCAAAAGGTGTCAGCTCCCCAGGGCAACTGCAGCCTGAGCCAAAAGAGAGGACCCAGACCTTGAGGAAAAGAAAAGGGGAAAAAAAAAAAACCAACGGAGTGGGGGGAGTGACATCTACTTCTAAAGACAGAGCATTTTGCAGAGGATGAAGAGCAACGTGTAACGCCCTCATCTTCAGGGTCTCAACTTTGGGCTCCCAAACCTGAGACCCTTTTGGGTTCAGTGGCCTGTCTAGTTAGACCTACAGACCCCGATGTCCTCTACCTCAGTGCTGACAAGTAATGTGGGGCCTCAGTTCCTCATAAGCCCTTTAATAGGGTGCTGGTGGAGTGAGGTGCAATGGCATCATCATTTAGGGAATAAGCCTCTCGGGTGTGGTTATTATTTTTCAAAGAAGCCTTATGCTGAGGCATGTCAGGAAAGGTGGGAGCCGCTGAGGCCCAGATCCTTCTGGATGCTGCAGTCTCCTGGTGCCTTCCTTAAAGACCTTCAAATTCACCCCCAAGGAGGACACTTTCCCTAAAGGCCGCTGGGCCCTCTGCCTATCCACACTGCCCCACCAAGAGAGCCAGCCTGTGCTCTGCGGGCGTCTATACAGCCAGGGGAATCTTGTCAAGGTTTTCAGGCCTCGTATACGGTCTGGAGGGTGGTAAAACCTCAGCTGGAAAGCTTCCTTCCACCAGGGTGTCAGGCCCTAATTTGGGGGCATGGGAGGGGGTAGGTAGTATCAGGGGCCACGGGAGACTGGCTTAAATGTCCAAGGGAGAGGGAGGATGGCTGAAGGAGAGGATGGTTGGCTTCTGCCCTGAGGATGAGGCTCATGTTAGGAGAAAGGTCGGTGGGCCTACCATGTCCCTTCCCCTCTATCACTGTGGGGTTACCCTCAGCTCCCACACTGGTGCTAAGGACAAGAAAAGAAACCAGGGCACCCCCTTGCTCTGGGAGGGATGAGCAGACTTACCCGAGGCGCCGCTGTCCCTGGTCGTCCCTCCAGCCAGGCGCTCCAGAACCCGGTTCAGAAGATGCTCTGGCCGCTCGGGGGCGCCCAGGGGGGCCCAGGGAGGTGAAGCCAGGGGCTCGCCCGGGGATAGCTCATCTGAGGAGTACGAGGAAGGGGAGCGCAGGGGGACCCCGCACCCCAGCGGCCCGGGCTCGGGCACCTCCTCCAGCTGCAGCCAACACGGCCCCCCGCTGCCCGGCTCCTCCGAGACCCCTAAGGGCTCGCCCCCGTCCTCCTCGGCCGGCGGCTCCAGCCCGGACTCGGCTGAGGGCTCCCGGAGGAAAGCTGGGAGCAGCAGGCGAGACACGCTCTGACGCCGCTGCAGCGGCCGCGGTCCCCCGGTCGGACCGCCGCCCCCGCCAGGGCCGCCACCCCCGCCAGGCCCTCCGCAGCCACCCGGACCCCCGCCGGGACCTCCTGCCACCGCTCGCCCCGCCAGCTGCGACGTCTGCTTCTTCAAAAATTTCTCCAGTGGCTTCATGCCCCCCCCCGCCCCTCTCCTAGGGGCCGCCGGGGGACCCAGGTGTCCCAGGCGCGGGCGGGGGGGGCGGGGACACGATGCTCAGAGCCGGAGGAGCAGAGCCGAGGGCCGTGCCAGGCGCCGGACTGCCAGCCAGAGGTGGCCGAAGCTCGCTGGCCAGAGTCCAGTGGCCAGTGGCCGGGGGAGGTGCCAGAGGGGAGAGGAGCTCGCTCTCAGCAGCCCCCCATGCTGGCTGCGGCCGAAGGGCGGGCAGGCGCAGGGGCCGGTGTCCCCGGCTCAGTGCTCCGGGGCCGGGCTGAGGCGGCAGAGGCAGCGGGCGGAGCGCAAGGCTGAGGACGCGGCGGCGGCGGCGGCGGCTGCGCTCCTGGCCCCGGGGAAGGTGGCAGAATTGAGACCGCGCCCCCTCATCCAGTCCCCACCCCTACCCTGCCTGGGCCCGCCCCCACCCGGCCGCGCGAGGCTTGAACTTGGGCGCTGGTGCTGACCGCGGAGGGAAAATTCGGACTTGGCTTCTGACAGTCGCAGAAGCTAAGGGCAAAAGAGGGAGCTGGGAGGATTTACCAATGGAGAGGGCGCCTGGTTCTCGATTACCGGGTCTCTTGCGATCATTTCAAATAACCAGGGAAAACCTTTGACATACACCTTGACGCGCCTACCTGTACACAGGTAAGGCTTCAAAGACTGCTGAACTCATTGCATCTTTCCCACAGTTATGTGGTCTTTATCTCCCACCCGTGAGAAGGGCTGGGACGGCATCTTGGGTGAACTGGCATTGGCACTGGGGGCGGTACCCACATCCTTCTCTGATAGGGTGTAGTAGGTGGTGCAGGGCCGCCCTGTAAGGCAGGTACCGGCAGGTAGGAAAGAGCCAGGCAGACCAGCAGGTCGTGGCAGGTCTAATTGGGGTGAAAAGAGATAGTAGGCAGCAAGAGGAGGCCAAGAGCACAAGGGCACCTTAACCCAGGTAGTAGTAGCAAAAGGAAGCAAGACTGGAGATGGCTAACTATTGTCACCAAGCACATAACGTTCATGGAATGGGAGAAATGTTGCCCTTACTCCTGATGGCCACGCCAGAGCATTCTGCCACCAAGGGCACACAGAGACACAGTGTGAACACATCCAGGCTAGGTATACACAGTGAGGGAGTGGCACCAGGATCCTGGTGGGTTGGGGCTCCTTGGACAATTCCCCAACCCTGTTTACTGTGCACCAGACAGGCATGGATGGACAGGAATGCTAATAGCTGGGCGTGGTGGGACTGACGGGGTGTGTACGACACTTGTGTTGCTGTCTGTGCATACCCAGTTCCATGTGTGCATGTGTTCACAGAAATAAAGCTCTGCACACCCATCTGCGGATTTGGAGAGGGAACAAAAAAGAAAACAAGATAGCTCTGATTTTGGCTAAGAAGCTAGGTTTGAGAATTGACTTTCTGGGCTCCCTTACTCGGACACTGGGTATCTCAAGGTTGAAGGTAGAAACTGGCTTACAATGGCTCAGAGCTCCCCAGGTAACCTTTTAGGAACCAAATAGGAAGAGGGGAGGGCTTCTCTTCTGCACATGCCACAGTTACCAGATTAAGCGGTTGCCTTGGTAACCTCCTCTCTGGGCAGGATTTGGGATTGTCGGTTAGGAAGGGTGAAAAATTAGGGAGTGTAAAGGGTGTGGGGGCTGGAAATAAAAGGGACTGAGAGACTTCTAGAAACTAAAGGCTTGGTTTCCAAACCCTTCCTTCCATTCAAGACCTTGAATCAGAAGAAAGGGAGGCATTAAGTACTCCTGGAACATCAGTGGTTTCCACTCTGGCTACACACTGGAACCACAGAGGAGCTTTTCAGAATTGCTGGGGCCTGGGTCACACCATAGATCAATTATGAGATCCTCTGAGGCAGGCCCAAGGCTTGTTAGCTTAGAAAGCTCCCCAGGTGATTCCAACACCCAGCATTGGGCCGGGCAGTGGTGCAGTGGTGGCGCACACATTTAAGCCCAGAGACAGGAGGATCTGAGTTGGAGGCCAGCTTGGTCTACAGAGTAAGTTCCAGGACAGGCTTCAGAGCTATAGAGAAACCCTGTTTCAAGGAAACAAACAAAAAACAAAACAAAAAAACACCAACCAAAAAAACCCAAATAGCTAGAGTTGGTCAACCCTAGCAGGCTGCAGCTAAGAGGTATTTGCAATTGCAAATCCTTGTTTTACCTACAAGGTAGGTCCATGAACTGATCCTCCTGAGTGTGGGGGGTGGGGGGATTGGTAGGGAGGCCAACAAGCTTAACTGAGCCTGTCCAACCCATGCCATGAGCTTCTAAAAGAGGTACTGGACAGGGCTACCCAAGGCAGGAATGTATCTGCCCCTCACACTCCCATTATTTCTGCCCACAGAGAGGCAGGCTGGGAGGGCAGAGAGAACCTGAGGGCTTTGCTGAGCTTGAGTTTCTTCTTGCTGAGCCGGTTACCAGGGCAACAGAGCAATGGGATCTAACCGGAGGACTGGGGAAGAGGCAGGGGTGAGGAGGAAGCATCCTAATATTCCTCTTTCCTGCCAGTAACCCACTCCCAAAGTTGGTTGGCATTCTTTGCATGACCCAGGAGACCAGGCATATGGTTACCCATCACCTGTGGGACAGAGGGAAGATGTCTCAATGACACCCACACCACCAGTGTAAAGCTTTGTGGAATCAGAAACAAATGTTTCCAGCCCCACAACACCCAAATGCTCTTCCATACCCGGGGTGGCCTTTGTACAACAGTTGTAAACTTCCACTCAGGGAAAGTTAATTCAAAACTGGTAATTACTCTGTGTCTTCCAGAGTCTCGAGTGAAAGGCAGAATGAACCAGTTGGTGGTTTTTGTTTTCCTTGTCTTTACCAGTACCAAGACTGGTAGCTGTCCTTCAGACTGTAGGCCTTGGTATTTTAGTACCATCTCCCCCTCCCCCGCTACCCCCCGAGACAGGGTTTCTCTGTGTACACCTGGCTGGTGCTCTGTAGACCAGGCTGGCCTTGAACTCACAGAGATCCTCCTGCCTCTGCCTTCCGAGTGCCGGAATTAAAGACCAGCATTTTATGGTCTTTAATCCCACTATGCCCAGCTGCGTAGTTATCTTTCTTGGAAAGTAAAGACAGCACTAAAAGCCAGTCATAGTAACCCACACTTTTAATCCCAGCACTCGGGAGGCAGAGGCAGAGGCAGAGGCAGGTGGATCTCTGTGAGTTCCAGACCAGTCAGGGTTACATAGTGAGACAGGGTCTCAAAATAAATAAATAAATATATTAAAAAAAAAATAACCTGCTAGAAATTGTGTGTGGCAGTGTACACCTGAAAAGTGGAGACAGTAGGATCAGAAACTGAAGGGTGAGTTAAGAGGCCAGCCTGGACTGTATGAGCCCCAGGTCTGAAAAACAAAAAAAGAGGGGTAGAATGAGAAACAATTGGTGAGCACATTCAAACTTGGGGCCTCACAGAAGCTCCTTACCTCTCTGGCTTCCATTTTACCAGTATATGCTGGCTCAAATTATGACTGTGATTCTGTCTCTTTCTTTCCTCCCAAATTAAGATACATATAATAACTGGCAACAGAGTCAAGTCTATAGTCTAAATTTTATTATCTCCAAGTCACAATGCTGATCACAAATATGCACCTTTAAGACAGTAACAAAAACAGCACACAGGGTGAAATCTTTGCAACTAAACACAGTGGACCAACAGACAACTGTCACAGTGTCTTAAGGTCTGGGAATCTGGGCATGAGCCCACAGGCTTGAGGAAACATCTTCAGGTTTAAGGCAAAGGGAAGCCCATAAAAGGCACAACCACCAGCTACCCCTGGAAGAACCTCTTAGTGATTTCCTCCTTGGGGGTTACCCCCCACCCTGACTCAAGAGTGGTTAGGCCAGCTGTAGGAGGGAAGAATAAAAACAGTGACATTACTGGGGAGAGACAGCCGCCACCTTTCCCTCAGGTTCTGCAGGAACCCGGCAGGCATAGTGCTGCAGTAACAGACTTCCACAGAGGCACAGGGAGGTGGTTTGGTGCCATGGAGAGGAATGACAGGAGGGAGAGCCTTTGCCCAGGAGGTGACTTGCTTCCTTAGGAGTCAAGGTACAGTTACCTTCTGTTTCCAAGTACAGGAGCAGAATTTGGGGAAGTAAGGTAGTAACACCTAAAAACACTTGTAACAGGGAAGGCATGGAGAAGAACTGTAAAAGACAAGGCAGACAGACTGCTGGATAGTATCTGTCTCTAGAGATGCACTGGTCCACAGCAACTGGGAGGGGATGTAGTAGGAAGGATGTAGAGAAAAGAAGCAGAGCCCACTAGTTCCACTTACCTCAAAGACAGCCCTGAGGACTCAGCCATGCATTCCCCTCATCGTGCAGAGGATCTCACGCCACCCTCCCTTCTCACAAAAGCATTCAGTTTGTTTTCTCCCTCCACAGCAGAGATTCTGCCTCCCTGGAGGACTGAAGCCCATCAGAATAGAGGTACTGAAGGAGGCTCAGACTTGTAAGACCTACACCCCAAACAAGGGCTCCTACTCACCCACTGAGCTCTCCTCTGCCGCGGGATACTGCGTGCAGAGAGCTTCCACAGGGTTAGGAGTTAGAGACTACTAAAGACCAATCACAAGGAAAAGGCCAGCTATTTTTACACTTGGTTGATACAGTCTCAATTATGTGGGAGTCAGGGAGGAGTCCAAAGGGACTCCAGAAAGGGTAGTAAACTAGACTGAACTTGTTTCATGTAAAGTCAGGGGACAGATCAGGGAAAAGGAGAAAAAAACTAAGAATATTAATTTAAGAAGGGTAAGTCAGGCTCTAAAAATGAACATTCAAACAAGTAAAGCAGGAAGGAACTTCCCTGGGAGCAGAAGACACTTGAATTTCCGGGGAGAAAGTAAACAACAGTGAGATGCAGGCTTCTGACTCTGCAGGAATCTAGACTCTGAAGCCTGGGCTGTCCAGTCTCTGCTCCCATGAGTCCAGGCAGCTCAAGTGAAGAGTGGAGGTTTCTTCTCTCTCTAGCAGGCCTGTCCTCAGAGGAAGAGGGCTTCTCGTGCTCGGCTGGCAGGGTTACCCCACATTTCTCATCTCCCCCAAGTTTTCACCTTTCCTGTTCTATTGTGAGTTAAAAAGAGAAGAACTGTGTGTCAGTGGACCTCTGGGTATTCATATAAGCCTTCTCAGAAGGCCACATTTCTAAATAGTGTGGCTTATTTGGCGCCAAGGATCACCCTGGGCTTCTAAATAATGTGTTTGAATGACCACAAAACAAGAGCAATAAAAACACCCCAGAGTCAGGTGTGGCAGCCCACACCTGTAATCTGAGCAGTCAGGGGTGGAAGCAGAAAGATGGAAAGTTTGAGGCT